AGCCACCTTATCTCAAGTGATATGATCTTACAGCCCACTATGACTACCACTATAAAATTATCGATCATTCCATAGAGAATTGCATTACCCTAAAGTATAAGGTGCAATGATTGATCAATGATGGAGTGATAACTTTTGATCAAATATGGGTTACAACATCTAATGTTGGTGGTAATCTATTATCCAATCACAATGTTAATGCTTCAAGTGAAGATCAAGAATGAATGTGATTTGAAAAGGCTTAGTCAGCTTTGACGAATCAAAAGGGTAAGATGTTAATAAAGATCTTTCACCTGATTACACAAGGGTATAATTTTAGAAAAAGATGTTAAGACTGATTGGAAGTTGTTTGTTATTTTAGGATTTCTTTTAGAGTAATATTAGGATTTCTTTTATGTAATAGGATTTCATTTGTTATCATTTTAATAAAAGGTAAGGATAATGCATTTCATTACATTTTCTCTTTCATTCATCCATTGTTCCATGCTTTGTTACCTTTCATAACCTTTTATTCCCATTCTCAAATTTTAGATGGTGAATATTTAGACAATGATAATAATAACTATGGGCTTTAATTTTGAGAACTCATTCACATTAATCTGAATAGACTATTTGAGTAAAAGAAGCTAGCTACTGACAGATATGAAATAGATATGTCTTGAAGATATGCAATCTTTTATAAAGATCCATGAGCTTGTTTTTGTTTAATAGATGATCTTTAAAGAAAGCATTCACATTTGAGATGAAAAATGACCATTTGTATTTTACCATTCGAAAAATCATTTATTGCTACCCTTTGAGCTTATTATAATTTTTAAAAAAAATCCTGACCAAAGATCACCATCCATACTAAGGGGTAATTTTTGAAAAAAAAAAGAGGTAAAAGATCGTAAAGGGTCTCAAATAGGAAAAAAAAAGTAAAATAAAGAAAAAAGAGAAAAGAAAAATGAATGTCACACATGATTTGAAGCAAAGTAATAAAAGTTTTTTTGTGAGGAATGAAATGAAAAAATGAAAAAGTAGTGAAATGAAGTGGAATGGGATAAAATGCCAAAATCCATCAAATGATGAAAAATGATCCTTTGATTTTGAACCTTTTAAACACTTGTTTTGAGCCTATTTTATCAATTTCTCCTACATTATAACCTTTAAAACTCCATTTGGATCAAATGTGAATGCTCAAATTGAATGATCATATGTTGGGCTAAGGCATGCTCGTGATAGAATAGTGAAATCATGCTACATTGCTCTAAAGATTGATGTGTGAGAGAAATCACTAATGGATGAAAAAAATTAAAAAAAAATACAATGAAAAAAAGGGAAAGAGAAAAAAAAGATGAAAAAAAAAGATAGAAAAAGAAGACTCAAATTGAAAACAAAAGAAAAATGATTTGGGTGAAAAAATCTCTGAGTTGAGAGTTGGATAAATAGTTCACATAGATGGAAGGTCAAAGATATATGAGGATCTTTCAAAGTTGGGGCAAAGTTCAATGAGCTTAAAATGACTTAGAAAGTCAATGGAATGAGTTTTTGAGAAAAAATTCTGGATTAATGTTAAGAATTGTCTAAGTATTCATTATTTAGACATTGAGATACCATTCAATACCATCCTTATTGACATGCTTTGAATTTGTTCCTTTGACCATTTGTTTTGTATCAAACTCACTCCTCATTAATTACCTTTCTCTCAATTCACCTTGTGCTCTTTTATTGTTGCATCCCCAAAATAAATTGAGAAAATGTCTGATTACATTATAGTTGACAAAAATTGAAATGATGATGAATGAATGATAATATGCATAAAAGATTTTTACATTCCTTTGAAAAGAAATCCAAAATGATAGAGGGTAAAAAAATAAAGATGAAATCTGAAAAGATGACACATGTATGATGATGGATTGATCGACATAACTTGTGAGATGTGGTCAAATTATGAAAATAACGTAGATCAATGAACAAAATTCATTCTGGAATGACCAGTATTGAGAAGCCTGTGAATGGTGATCAAGTATGAAAATAATGAGGATCAGTTGACGAAACTTGTTCTAAAATGCTGAGAAGCTATAAAAGGAAAAATGTGAGATTGTTGGGTCTTAAGAACCATATTACCATAATTAATTAAAATTTCATGACATTTATCTGCATTACATGCATTATGTTTGCATCGTCATTTGAACGATACATGTATATAATTCGATGAATATTTAGAACTTTGTTTGGACATACATCAACCAGCAAATATTTGAATATGGCATCTATATTATTGTGAGAATCTAGATTGTTATACTTGCATAGTTGATTATGACATTCATTACATACAAAATTTTGAGTCACCTGAAAAAGAAATTGTGAATCTTTTGATGAGAATCTTTGAATTTCAAAGGAAAATCATTGAGTTCTCAAATGAAAATTTTTTAGTTTTCAAATAAGAATCTTTGAATTTTTTAGTTCTCAAATGAGAGTCTTTGAATTTCAAATGAAAATATTTGAGATGAAAAACTCTAAGATTTATTGAATGTGAACTTTTGAACTCGAATGAGAAGCTTTGAACTTTTGAATGTAAATCTCCAAAATTCAAATGAGAATCTTTAATGTTGGATGCGAGTCTTGCAATTTGCAAATGCGAATTTTGAGATCTTGCAAATTTGAATTTTTATGAAATTGAAATTTTGAGAATCAAATTTCAGTGAATTTTTATGAAGTTGAAATGTTCTTGTGAATATGAACTTTTAAATTTCGAACGCAAATTGTGAATATTTGAGTTTTCATTACAAATTTCATTAGATCTGATCTATGACTCCTCTGGACATGATTGTTGAAGAGCCTTTGTTTTTCAAAGTTGTTGAGCCTCTATTTAAAGGAGCCTTATTTACTTTCTAAAGTCGTTGAACCTCTGTTTAGAGAACCCTTATTTTTTTTTTCAAAGTTGTTGAGCCTTATTTATTTTTTCAAAGTCGTTGAGCCTCTGTTTAGAGGAGTCTTATTTAATTTTCAAAGTTATTGAGCCTCTATTTAGAAAAGCCTTATTTAATTTTTAAAGTCATTGAGCCTTTGCTTAAAGGAGCCCTATTTATTTTCCAAAGTCATTAGACCTCTACTTAGAGAGCCTAATTTGATTTTCAAAGTTGTTGAGCCTCTGTTTAGAGGAGTTTTTATGAAGTCTGAGTATGCTTAAAAAAAAAAAACAAAAAAAATATGTGTTGATTCCTGATTGGGTTGTCTATGTCTTTTCACAATTTTTATTTCATAAAAAATACACAAAGAGGGGCAGCTATAGACACCCCAATCTATCTGGGGTTCTACTTAGGTTAATTTTGTTAATAAAAAAATAAAAAAATTAAAAAAAAAAAGTAATTGAGTTTGTGTGAAATTTTTGAAATAGGTTTGTAAAGTTAGAGTTGGATTTAAGGTTAAAATTCAAAGGAAACTAGGATTCTTTTTTGGATTGGAATTCTTAGATTCAGAATCCTATAAATACATGCCCACATAGATCACACAAACACAAAAAAAAAAGGGGAGAAAGGCAAAAATTAGAAAAGCAGTCAAGAAAATTTTTTGAATTTTTTTTGGGGTTTTAAAAAAAATTTGGAAAAAATCTGAAAAATTCTCAGATTCTGACGACTTTTCCAGTCTTTGTCTCAAGTCGAGTCAAGCTGAGCCACTTTTTTAGCCATTCCAGCTTTTCTTCTTACAGTCGAGCCGAGCCTTCTAGCCGCTGAGTCGAGCTATTTTCCTGTTTGATTTTTTTTATTTATTTTCATAGTATTTTTGCATGATTAAATTTGAGAAAAATAAAAAATGTAAAACTTAATAAAATAAAATTTTGAGAATAAATATTAATTATCCAATGATGAAATTTTTAGAAATTTCAAATGGTAAATTTTTATAAAATTTTTAGGTGAGAAATTTTGTCTAAATTTGTTCCAAATGGTGGAATAATTTAAATAAAGTTTCAATAACAATAATTAATATTTATATTCAATCAAAAAAATAAAAAAATAAAAAATATTAATAAAAGTTTTGGAATTAAATACAAATTACCCAAGGATGAGATTCTTAAAAATTTCAAACGTAAATTCCTAAGAAATCTCTATGTGAGAAATTTTCTCTAAATTTATCCCAAATTATGGAATAATTTAGATGAAATTTTAATAAAAGTAATTGTATTCTTTTTCAAATAAACAAATTTTTGGTTGAAAATATTTGACAATTATCCAAGGATGAGAATCTTAAAAATTTCAAATGGTAAATTCTTAAGAAATCTCTAGGTGAGAAATTTCTTTAAATTTGTCCCAAATGGTGAAAGAATTTAAATAAAATTTCAATAAAAAATAATTGTCATATTATTTTCCTTCCAAAAAAAAAAGAGAAAAAAAATTTCTAAATAGGCCCAAATAGTGAAAAATTTAGAAATCCAATAAAAAATAAAAAGAATTTCTAAATAGGCCCAAATGGTGAAAAATTTAGAAATTCAAAAGAGAAAATACTTCTAATTTGGCTAAAATTGTGGAATAATTAGATATATTTTCAATAAAAAAATAATTAAACTTTTTTTCCGATAACGGGGTCACTTCAAGAAAATAAATGGGATCCTTGAATACTCTTGAGGTGAGAAAATATTTTTTAAGAGTTCTACGAGATTGATAGAGAGTCCTAAGAATTATTTTTAACATTTAAACATTGAAATTTAAAACCATTAGAATTAAGACCTTAGAATAAATTTAAAACAATATAATATCATCCTTTGGATGGGCATGTGGGGGTGCTATAACCTTCCCCATATATAACCGAACTGTCAAACTCTGTTTTGGTTTGTAGATATGAACTTATTCTTTTAGGGACCCTTAGTCAAGCTTAGGAGCTCATTAAAAAGATAGATTCATTAGGTGACCAATCACATTTAAATAAAAGAGATTGATGGCGACTCTTTTTGTTAAGTCTAACTATAGATTTACAAATTTATATGTTATGACAATGTTTATTCTAATATTTTCTTTTGCATGCTATGGTTGTCTATACTTTGTGCTGGCTATACTGAACCTATTGGTGTAATTTGGGTTGAATTTGACCACTCAAGAAATGGAGGTTACCATACATCTGAAATTGCATCAGAGAGTGCTCAGACTATAAAGGTTCAATCTATTGAAGTCTTCGCTATTCCAGCAGATGAATTGAAGGAAATCAGAAATAACTTTGGTACAAATTCTTTGATTGGAGAAGATTCATAAGGTAGAGTCTAGTATGGAGTTCTTAAAAGTAGGCAAGCTATAGCAATTAAAAAGTTAGATTCCAGCAAGCAACCTGATGATGAGTTTTTAGCCCAGGTTCAGTTAACAACTATAATTCATTGCATTTACTGCATCTCAATATTAATTTTAGAGTTTAAAGTTTGTATCCAATGATGCATGGATTTTCAGGTTGCCATGGTATTAAGGTTGAACCATGAAAACTTTGTTCAATTGCTTGGTTACTATGTTGATGGGAGCTCTCGTATACTTGCCTACAAGTTTGCATTTAATGGATAGCAACATGATATTCTCTTTAGTATGTGTGATGATGCCTTATTCATTGCTCCGATTATACAAAGTTGAAAACTATTGAGGAGTGTAACGATGCTTGAAACAAGGTTCTTCTAGTGATGCTATTATAAAATTGAATTATAAAGTTTCTGTCTTGTTGGAAACAAAATCTCAGGTTTGTAATATTTAAATGTTGTGCTATTAACATTGCAAGATTATTATTATTTTAATGTAGAGAGAAAATGTGTTAAGGGAGCTCAACCAGACACTATTCTAAGATGGGCACAAAAAGTAAATGATTAACAATTTTTATTAGCAGATTCATTGTCACATGAAATTGTTATATATTAGCAGATTCATTGTGTAAAATACATAGCAGATTCATTGGCCTTGACATGCGAGTGTCAACTTTGGTAGGTTTATGTTATGGTTTTTCTTTTGTTTATAAGACCTTTATATACTTGAATTTGAGCTGTCGACATAGAATAATTATCTTGCTTATCACAATGGTTATTCTTTTCCCATAGTGTCTTACTGCAACATCTTTGATGCCAGGTCAATGACACCATTGGAACACTAGCTGGAGATGGTTATACTAACAATGATGTTGTTGCGGCTGTGATCCTTGGTACTAGATCAAATGCAGCTTATGTGGAACGTGCACAAGCAATACCAAAATATCATGGTCTACTGCCCAAATTAGGAGAGATGGTTAGCTGTCTTTAATTGCTATTGGTAACATTCTATAGCTTTGAGATTGTTTCCTTTCTTTCTTGATGTCACAATTAAAATCAAAGATGGTAACCATGCAAGTTTGAAATAGAACTGTTTAATTAGGTAGTATGAATACTAAAGTTGCTGTTGATAATGGCTGAAGGTTATCAATATAGAGTGGGGCAACTTTAGGTCATCACATCTTCCATTAACAAAGTATGACCATGCATTAGATGATGAGAGTTTAAACCCTGGTGAACAGGCAAGTGCACAATTTTTTGTTGTTTGGGTTATTTTAGCTTTTGCCTTAATTCTGTTAAACATAATTTGTTCATCTTGTGTTCTTTTGATTTGCCACAGATTTATGAGAAGGTAATATCTGGTATGTATTTGGGAGAAATTGTTCACAGAGTTCTGTGTAGGATGGCTGAGGAAGCTGCATTCTTTGGTGACACTGTTCCACCAAAACTTAAAGTGCCATTTGTATTGAGGTAATTTCCTCAGGCTATTTACAAATCTGTGTCCTTTTTAATTTTTATTTGCTCTTGGTATTTCGTTTTGTTTGATTCCAGTTATTTTTCATCAACTGCATTCTATTTTCTGTAAATTGGTTTACATTTTTCCCTATAATGCTATCCATGGTATCTTCTCTAAAAATTAAATTCATTTCTTTAATACACCATTGAAATTTAATTATCCAATGATATAAAAATTACCAAGTTTACTATTATTATTTATCTCAGATAAGGATAACTATGTCAGCAATACTAATCAAGCCTATTTTTATAGGTGGCTAATTTTGGATTGGCTAAACTGTCTTCTGATAACTACTCTCATGTCTCAACTCGTGTGATGGGAACATTCAAGTAAGGAACTGAATCTAGAAACAAAAGTGAATAGCTATTTTGTGATTAATGTGTTTGAGGAAAAGAAAGAATGAAACTGGGAAATCAATAGTTTGTTAGAAGATGTTGATTTAAACATATTTCATAAAGTGGAAATCAAAATCCACTTGCTAATGATTTTAATTTTTCTTTGTTCCAATGTAGGTACTTGGCCCTAGAATATGCCACACGTGGCAAGTTGACAGATAAATTTGATGCTTTTTCATTCGGAGTCATGCTCTCATAACTCATTGCTGGAAAGCAACCTGTTGATCTTACTCATGCAATGGAGGACAACTTAGCAGATGGGGTCCGTACCCTATTCCCCTCTGTATTCTCCAAACTTAATACTTGCATTAGAGTTTAAATTTGGTGCATCGATAACCAAAAATATCAGACCTTATTTCTATGATTTAGCAAAGTGGAGCGTAATTAATTGATATTAAATAAAATTATACAAAGCAATGTATCAAATATAAATTCCTTTCGTCGCAAGAAAATTCCATAGATAGAATGCTGCCTCTGTTGTTCTGTTTAGTCCAATAAATGTACTTTATGAACAAGCTCGACCACTCTTGGCCCGTGCACTGAAGGATGAAAACCATCATCAGCTGGTTGATCCATGCTTGGAGCTTAACTACAACCATAATGAAATTAATGCAACGCATGATAGCCTGTGCTGCTGCCAGCATCAAACATTCAGCCAGAAAGCGCCCCAAAATGAGCTAGGTTTGCAATGATCTGCAACTTTCATAACTTGCCTTACTAAGAGATTACATTTTATAAGTGGTTTATATATTGAGGTAGCATCCCCATATGGAGGCCTTAATACCTTGGTGATCATATTATAATAGCTAATTAAAACATTAATTTTTTTTTTCGTTTGCAATTTCTTTTTGGACCTCTTTTTCTACTTTACATTATTCACTATTTAGATTAACATAGATCTTTATTTTACTCCCACAGCAAAGTGTAGGCATGAAACCTAGTAAATATAATAGTTAGCTTTTTTATGTTATGGTATTAGCTTTTTATCTATGGATGATAAAACAAAAAGTAAAAACGAATTCGTAATTGAATTTAACGATTTATATAATTATTATTACTACTAATAATAATAATAATATTTATATTATTATTATTAACAAAAATTATAATATAAAAAAATAAGAGATAGTAAATATTGAGTTTTGAACCTAAATTTATTGAGTATCAATTCTTTAAGGATGATTCCGTAAACGAATTGGTTTATGACTCGTTTAAATTAAAATAATATTTTTTAAATTTAATAATTTTAATTTTAAAATTTATAAAATATGTAAATATTATAATAATATAAGTGAAGTATTTCATATTATATATATATATATATATATATGAAGTTCCTTACGAAGAACAATAAAAATTACAAATAAAATATTGAAAGGTGTAAATTTTGCACTTGTGACTTTGACGAGATTCCTTGAAATTTGGATATACGATTTTGTGGTAAAATTAGGTTTAAGTTTGAGTTACAAATTAGTAGGAACTTTAGAAAGAAATGATACAAAATGACGTGTATATGAGGGAGCGTCAAGGTAAACATCAAGTCATTTCATGGTTAAAAAAAATTATTTGAGTTGGTAAGGAAATTACCTGATAACGAAATTACTTTAATACTCGTTCCATCTTAAAGTATTAAATTTTTTTATTAATTTTTATTTAAAAAATTTGATTTTGGAGTATATGGTATTAAATTTTTAATTTTTTATAAATTTGATGTTACATAATTTTTAATACCAAAAAATTAAAAAATTTATGAAAATTAATTTTTTAAATAATTTTATTAAAAAAACTAAATAAAAAATCTTATAAATGCAAAAAAAAAAAAAAAATCAAATATAATGGGTTTACCTTTAGTAAGTCTTGTCAATAATTTACCTCTAGCACTAATTATTAGTTGGTTTAGTTGGAAACATTAATGATGATTCACTGATGAATAAAACAACTTAAGAGTTGTAAAGTTTTGTAGTCATCATGCATGACTCGAAAGAGGTTTGTTCAAGGCTTTAAAGCATTAGTTGTGTAATCTGAGTAATTACTTCATTATGGTTTTGCCTTTTTATAAAGGAAGCAATAATTTTGGAGATAAAAAAAGTTGTAAATATGTAAATTAATTGAATATAAATAAATTTTGTTACATTTATAAATTTTATTTAATTAATAAATATTAATTTATTATTTTTTATTATTTATTAAATTTAATAAATAAATACAAATTGAGTCTGTGCATGAACTATTTGTTAAATGCTCTCTTCATTTAAATTTTTATGTTATAAACAAATAAAAAAATTTTGTTATATTCATTATCTTTTGGCATAATTAATGAATTTTAAAATATTATTCGTAATCATTTATTAAGTATAATTAAAAAATATAAATGAATAAAAATTAAACTATTCATTGAATGTTTTATTTGTTTAGACCTTTAAACAAGTAATGAGATTTAAATTTGAAATTTATCAAATGACATCTTAAAAATATTTCATCGTCTCGAATTTCATGATGTTGTTACTTCGACAATAATTTCTTAACTTGTCCTACCCAATTCCAGTTGAGAGGATCTAGTATATACAAGCAAATATACAACAATAACCGGTTGATTTGTTTTAACTAATTTTGTTTTAAAATTTTAAAATAAAATATTCCACTAATAATTACTAGATGAAAGAATATTGAGATTACTTTTTGAACACCAATAATAACTAATTTTAATTTTATTATTATAATAATTAATCTCATCCGTATACAATTAAATTTTATTTTTATTATTATTTTTAATTTTATCAAAATTAATCTCATTATCTATCTAAATAAATCTTAAAACTTTCTCGTATTTTATCGGAGTTGTTTCTCAAATGCTTTCATGATGCATTTGGCATAACCTTTCACGCAAAAAACAACATCCCTATTGAAATCAATTTTTAATCCAAATGGGGTCTAAAACTAAGAATATGCTCAAGAATGTGAGGTTGAGTTTTTAACATTTATATAAAATTTATTTTTATTTATTTATAAATAAGTATAAGTATGAAGATAATTTCAATTTATACACATACTGAAATTATAAATGTATGTAACATAAATAAAATTATTGATTTTAAAATTAGATAAAAAATACAAAATAATATCATAAATCCATCATAGAATTTTTTAATAAAATATTTGTAAACTATACTAAATTCTTAAACTATAGAATTGAATTTAAAATTTAATTTAATTGATTTATTTAGTCACTCTAAAAAAAATAACTTCTAATAAATTTAAAATTTAACTTTTAACATTTGTAATTTTTTTCTCTCTTAAATTACAATTTTCTATCTTCTATCTTAAGCTATGATTTTCTATATAAAAAAACTATAAAACTAATTTCCTTGAAGGTATTATTTTAAAAGTCAAAATAATGCACATTTGACCTATTATAAACAAATTTTGAATTATCAAATTACAAATAAATAGTGTAAAAGAAAAAAAAAAGTTGATTGGGCCACAATGGCCCCAAAGTGCCCAAGAATTTGATTATGGGCTTGTCGTGATGTCTTGCTTGTTAAGGCACAAACAACTCTTGAGTTTTCAAAACAATAATAAATACAATAGTTAGCCTTTTTATGTTATGGTGTTAGCTTTTTATCTATGGATGGTAAAACAAAAAGTAGAAACGAATTCGTTATTGAATTTAACAGTTCATATAATTATTTTTTAAAAAAATTTATACAATAAATTTAAAATTAATAAATTTTTTAATTTAAATTGTGATTTTTTATAAAAATAAAAAATAAAAATAATACTTCTTCTATTCTAAAATTATTGTTTTTTTATTGGTCTTTTAGATCAAACTAGTTCAACTTTGATCATTACTTTTAATTAAAAAAAATTAAAAATTTTTTGAAAATAAAATTTGTAAATTTTGAGTTCGAAACTATTCGAACCACATCTTTTAAATTTTAATTCAATATAATACTTTATAAAATAAAAATCAAAATTGAGTTACTTCAATTAAAAAATAATAGGAATTAATTATTTTGGGATAAAGAGAGTATCAATAATAATTTTAAATTTTTTAAAATAATAATTCAATAATTAAAAACTTGAAATTTCAATAAATGGTTTCGAATATGAATTTTACAAAATTATGCATGAAATTTAGAAGATAAAAAAATTTATCACATCGATGATATGTACAAAAAGAATTATTTTGAAATAATCTATGTTGACAAAAAAATGGTTTATTCATATACTATTAATTTTTTTTATTAAATTGTTACATTGTGGAGAATATGAAATTATGTGGTTATAACATAAATCTATACTTTCTTCTTGTGATTTTCCTTATTAGTATTTATTTATTTTTTGTAATTAGTTGTCTATTGCATTAAATTTAATTAGATGTAAAAAGAAAAGGGAAAAATGATAAAAAAAAATCTTTACTATACCATATATCATAGCCCATGATGTTACGGGCCGGGAGCTTGACCCTAGCAACTGTGTGCACGGTCCGTGACAATAGACTTAATTCCCATCTACAAACCTGACCTCCCAAAAACCCTAATTTTCCCCGGACCAGCCACCCCATATAAAACTCTAATTTTCTTCTGTTATCAGTCATCTCGGGACTAACTCTACATCCCTGAAAAGCCTTGACAAAAAAATGGCAGAAAGAGGCGGAGGAGAACGTGGCGCCTTTAGGCGTGGCTTTGGCGGCGGCAGATCCGACCGTGGTCCAAGAGGCAGGCGCCGCGCCCGCAAGGACGAAGAGGAGAAATGGGTCCCCGTTACAAAACTCGGCCGTTTAGTGAAATCTGGAAAAATCACATCCCTCGAACAAATCTATCTCCACTCTCTCCCCATTAAAGAGTACCAAATCATTGACCAACTCGTTGGCCCTTCCCTGAAAGACGAGGTCATGAAGATCACTCCAGTCCAGAAACAAACACGTGCCGGTCAGCGTACTCGTTTCAAGGCCTTTGTCGTTGTTGGCGATGGAAATGGACACGTTGGTTTGGGAGTAAAGTGTAGCAAAGAAGTTGCGACGGCTATAAGAGGAGCGATAATATTGGCGAAGCTGTCCGTGATACCGGTGAGGAGAGGGTACTGGGGGAATAAGATCGGGAAACCTCATACAGTTCCGTGTAAGGTTACTGGGAAATGCGGGTCTGTTACTGTTAGAATGGTGCCTGCTCCGAGGGGTGCCGGGATTGTGGCTGCTAGGGTGCCCAAGAAGGTGCTTCAGTTTGCTGGGATTGAAGACGTTTTCACTTCTTCCAGGGGATCTACTAAGACTCTTGGTAACTTTGTCAAGGTATTGGGTTTTCTTTATAATTCTTTATTTGTTCGGTTTTGTTGTTATTCAACACTGTTTATGGATTTAGATCTATTTGGAAATGGCTTGTTATATGTTTTAGTTCTTTTTCATCAACTTTGAGATTGTTGGTTACAATTTGTTTCTTGGATACTATGAGTTATATTGTTATGCTTGATTTATTTGGATTATATCACTGATCCGAGTTATAGACATGTTGTAAGGTTAATGTCACTGAATTAATTTGATAGAAATTGTGATTTAGGTTTGTTTCTTTTCCTGTTTTGGAAATGAGTTCTTGATGATTTTATGCATGCTTTTTAGTATTATGATATTTGTTTTATGCTGGTTTGATGAAGCTTATTTTTATTCTGTAAAAATATGGCATTGTCGAGGTGCTATTGGCTTCTATGTACCTTGCTTCTATGTACCTTGCATTGTTCCTGATGTAGTTGTTGAGCGTAAGATTTTGTTTTCTGCCTGGATTTTACCAAAGGAATTTTTTAGGGTAGTAAATTGATTAAGTAGGTAAAATGTCATTAGGATTATTTTTATTCTTTTAAGTGGTATATCATTATTGATGATGCTAGCCTCTTGGTTGTGCGAAATAATACAGTTATGGTTTATAGCCAGTGGAAGGTGTTGGTTGTTGCGGACAAGAATAACTACTTTTCCATGACAGAACCGATTTTCTGTGATGGATTTTGGTTTTCTTTTCTGCATCTTGAGAACAATGACAGCCAAATATTTCCAACCAAGCTTGTTAACTTGGAATGTTTGATGGTTTGGTGATTTATGCTTCTCTTATATTTGTTTAGTGTTTTGGCTTGGTCAAATTTTGTGTTATATGTTTGTCGAACTCCCCAAAACATGTGCCAAGATTTTCTACTCATTTGGTGACAGGTCAACGATTTTTTTTTTTTTACATTATTGCATGTTGCTGCCTGATAATATGTTTTCTTGATTATTGGAAAATTAGTGTGCTTTCATGCTCGATAGCTGATAATTTTCTGCATGATTATTCAGAGATGCTTGTTCAGTTATTGATGATACATGATTTTCTGCTGCTCTTGCAAATGTGATTGCAGGCCACCTTTGAGTGTCTTCTGAAAACTTACGGTTTCTTGACCCCTGACTTTTGGAGAGAGACTCGCTTCACAAGGTCTCCATTCCAGGAGTACACTGATCTGTTGGGAAAGCCAACAAAGACTCTTATAATTGAAGATGTGGAGAGGGTGGATGTGTGATGGAGATCATCGAGTCATTAGTAAGATGTGGCTTCAATATCTAGGGTAGTAATATGAAGTTCCTTTTATGTTTGTTAAAAGGATGCTATCATCACTTTCTTGCTTGATTGGTTTTGTCATGAGATATTCAGTATCTGTTTCAGCAACTGCAGTTTTGTTTTTCTCCATCTGGATTCTTTATAAGAGTGTGGTTACATGAGTTTAAGTCTTTTTACTTATGTGCTGTGAAATTAATGCATCTTGCTCCTCGATGGACGGAGTTATGTTTAAAGGGTCACAAGAAACATGTTATGTTTAAAGGGTAACTAGAAACATGGTAGCTCTCATGGTTCTATTAGGAGGCTTGAATTTCTCGTTGGGGTATAAATATTCATATTATTTTTAATAATTTGTGAGACGTTTTTTATGGGATTAAAATATAAGATTTAATGGGTCAAAGTAAATAATTTCTTACAAATTAATGTAAATTGTGATCGCAAATTAGAGCGGAGATCGGGGACACTAACTATGTTTAAAAGATCACTATCCAAGATGGCAATAGGGTCATTGTCGGGCCAGGTATGGCATACTTCGATCCTGTATTCAGTTACCGTATTAATTTTTCTCATCTTCCTACTTGTCGGGTAATATCTATGCCCTTACTGGACAGGTAACTTAAACTTGCCTCAAATACTCGTATTATAATTTTAAAAAATATAATAACAAACCTAAACTCGAAAAGAAAATCAAGAACAATGATACGTGAAAAACTCCTATGTAGACAGTAGCGGAGCAACAAACGTATATAAGGGTGGCGACGAAGTAACAAAGCAGAAGCATCAAAGAAGTGACAACAGAGAAATGGTCGGTAGTGACACCCAAATTTTTCTGGTGATGTCTGGACTTGATTTCATAGAGCGATGAAGAAGTAGCTAACAGAATCATCCGAGAGCAGTGATGAAGCAACGACCAAGCGAAACACCCAATTTGAACAAAATGCAAGCATTGCCTCTGCTGAAGATGCGTCAGACGTCACAACCCAGAGGATAGCGGAGAGGTCTCTCTCAATGGTTAGTGTTTCTTGTTCGAGGAATTGAAATTTTGGTATTGCTGCAAGAACGATCAATGATCCGATCAGACGCAACACCCAATTCAAACAGAAACTTGAGAAGGAAGACCAGATCAATTGAGAATCCGATCTTGAGGTTGCAACCAGTGCCTACTACTACTTGAAGATGCAGTCGGACAATGCAAACTTGAGGGAAGCAAAGCATTCTCTTATTTTGAATGTTTGCTTTCATCCAAAAAAAAAAAATTGAAACATAAATAATTGAAATATAAAAAAGTTATAACAAAAAAAATAATAAATAGAGAACTTTTAATTATAATTTTCCTAACACATCACCTTATAACAGTTAAAATTTGAAACTTCTTAAAAGTTTCATATTCAATATTGATAAAGAGATTTGAGGTATTTTTTGGTTACGAAGGGAAAGAAAAAAGGTTAAAACATTACAAAATTTTCCGAAAAAGTTACCTTTTATGCATAGTTAAAAGGACCACATTCAATAATTTAAAAGAAATTGAATTTTTTTTCGTAATCCACATATATCTCACAAGTAAGAGTTTAAATGATATATTAGTACTCGTTAATTATTCGGATTTGATTTGAATTAAATTTAAATTCGATTAGATTATTATCGAGTCAAGTTCAAATTTAAGTAGCTCAACTTATCAATCGAATCAAATTTAAATATTTTTATACTCGAATCGAGTAACTCATGAGTCTAATTGAATTTTTATATTTTAATATATTTTAATTAATAAAATATCTCAAATTCGAGCTCGAACTCAAGCACAAATAATCAAATTTTTATCGAATATAAGAATCGAGCTTATTTTTAATTGTTAATCGAACCTAATCGAATAAGTTTGAGTAATTTGATTTCTATCTCTAGTCGAACTCGAACAAAAAAATTTGATCGAGTTTGAATCCAGTTTTGAATTTTGAATTTCAAGTCGAACTCAAGCTTAATACTGTATTAACTCAAACTCGATCAATTACATATCTACTCACAAGTCAACTTTTTAAAAATATTAGTACATAATTATTACTTTACCTTTTCCTAATGCATGTTGATAGGGATGTTAGGATATAATCTGGTAAAATATTCTCATCTACATTTTCAGATTATTAGATATATTCATTTTCGTATTCATATTCAATTGATATTTTAAATTTATCTATATTTTCAATTTTTATGGATATTTAATAGATATGGGTAATCCTTATACTCATAACTTTTAAAAATAAAAAATAAAAAATAATTTTTCTAACTTTTTAATTTTTATCTTATATATTAAGTAATTTTTTATAAATATATATTAATATATAGTTTTTCAATAAACATATATTAACTTTAATTAATTTAGAATAATAGTTAATATTATTTAATAAAATATCTATATACTAAATATATATATATGTATATATATATATATGTATATATATATATATAAGATATAGTTACGAGTTGTGTACTATATTACCGATCTTCATTCCCATACCTAATAAAAATTTAATACACATTCTTATCTTCATACCTAAAATGTAATATTTCTCTTTATCTCCATCGGATAAAAAATTAAATTTCTTAGTAAATATAATTAAAATTGACATCCTTACATGTTGAAGATCTATTCACAAGTTTTTGAATATGTTCAACGATACAATTTCTTGAATTAAATCAATAGCCAATGAGATTTATTAATCAATGAAACCATTGTAAAATTCAAAACCAATAAATTTTTGCATTTGAACACTTAATGCAATAACAAAATTGATATGTGCATATATAAAAATATATATATTAAAATATTGCATTTGAATTATTTTTTTAATTTTATATAAATAAATAAATAAATAAAAACTCTCATTATATTCATGTCTTGCTTTAGTGAACTTTGTGATAGAAAAACAATTCTAAAAAAATTTGTTTTTTTGTTCAAACATAATCATAAAGAAATTTGTGGTTTGGGTCATAACCATAAGGTGTAGATAATTCCTTTCCTAAAATGATTAAAGATTAACTTGACATCCCTACAAATGCTTGTGTGTTGCATCTTCTTTTCAAAGTAGTAAACCTGAACAAGGGATTTAGATCTAATAATTTCAAACACAATATGGTGATATGACACAAAAATAATATAAAAAATTATATATGTATTTTTTAAAAAAATTTTGTATTTATTTACATCGATACAATTCATGTCTTATACATGTTGATACATCTAAATACGTGTAAGACATGAAAAACATATATAGATAAAACATGCCACTTAAATACACATTTAATATGTGATACGACACGAAAAATACATTTAATTTAATCTTGTCATAGGGGTATATATTTATTACATTTAAGATGTTTAACACATTTTTATATTTATTTTAATTTAATATAAACATATAAATATTATTGTAAATATTTAATTGTGATATACATTTAATAATTATTATAACATTATTTTTTATATTAATAATATAAATACATTATAAATATTAATATTAGTCACATACATCAATATTTATTTTTTAATCTATAGTAGTTTATCATTTTGAATTTGATATTAAAAACTGATATAGTTATGTAATATATTTTAAAATTTTAAAATATATATGTCTATATATTAAATACATATTAAATGGGTATCAATTTTTTTATTTTTTTAATATGTAAGTATTTTTTATATTATTAATATGTCAAATTTATTAAGTTGTAAATGATGGATAGTTTATAATTATTTATAATTTTAGCCATATTTTTGTATATATTTATGTTAATCGCATATATTCGTGTATATCTGTATTAGTCGTGTTTATTCGTATTTATTTATATCATGTTTAAACGAAATAATTATATATGTGTTAATCGTATCATATCGTATGTAACACGTATAATAAACGTGTTATGTCATATTCGTGTTTAAGATTTAAACACATTTTATAATTCATGTATTCTTATCTTAATAATTCATGTCATTACATGTGTCAGACACAACACAAGATATAATATGAAAACACAAATTGTCAATGTTAGAATTTTTCATAAGTGGGCAACTATTAATTGGTGATTTTAATTTAATAAAATCGATTGATTTAGTCTTAACACGAGATAAGCATAGGAGTCAAATTAATTTAATGTGATCACCTAAGCATGGGTTTTACACAACTTACTGGATCGGTATGGTATAGTGGTTGTGTAGACCTTTTGGCCCATTAAACCTTTGATGAAGAAGTAACTAGAGTTATTGAAATATAAGGCTAAGGTTTCTTCTTCAGTTGTTATTATTCGATAACTACCTATTGAGAAATTGATATAAAAGAGAAGAGCAAAGATGAAGACCATTGCCACTTTAAGATCATTTCGCTTTTGTGATTTTGTGATGACTATCTAAACAGGTATGCCTAATCTTTTTTATTGATATATAGTATTCTAATTTTCACACAATGATCTTAAGTAGTGCTTACATATGGTATCAGAGCTAGATTGTATGAAATTAGGACCTTAATTTCATGTTAATTTAATTGATTTTTTGTTGAATTGCTTGTTTAAGGCAAATAAGTTATTGTTAAAATTTTTTACTTTCAATCATTATTTTTCAAATTTGGGTAAAGGGCTTTTATTCCTCTCTGAAAGAGGATTAAATCTATATAAGAATCATTTTCTAATTTCTTGTATGGGAGAGAATCATTGTTCAAAGTTTTTTGTTACAAGTTTTGATCAAATTTTGTTTTAATTAAAACATCAATATTTTATGTGTTTGATTCGAAATTGATCATTGGATCATGTCTCTAATGTATTATAAACTTGAATCATAGTGATTAATTTCATAAAATATTGATGTATGGTGACTGATTATGAAAAAAATGAAAATGAGTTGAACATGGGTTTGCGGAACTAAACTTTGTTCTCAAATTAATCCTATTTTTGTTAGTTTTTGGTTTTTTTTTTTTTTTTTTTGTATGGGTGTTATAGAAAATATGTTTAATTAAAATTTTACAACTTTAATTTGATAAAAACATGAAGAAAAATGCATCCAAAATGGAGAAAACCACCAACAGACCTCAACGGGTCAATAAACCGCCCCAATTGGGTCTGGCCAACCCGGCTGGAAGTTAAAGAAGGCCAAGCCACAATGCTAGACAAGGCCCATGTG